TAGAGCTAAGATTGATAAACAGCAGGGAGGAGAGCAGGAACACCTCTAGTCTGTTTAGAATGCCAGGGTAGCCGAGACCTGGAAGCGAGCAGTGGCCTTGGCTCTGCAGGTCTGCCCCTAAGTTGAATTTGTGCTTAAGTTGGAACAGGTACATTTCTGGCTCTGGACAACAGTTTAATTATGTCACTATGCCAAGTATCCAGCACACAAAAGACATGATTCCTGTGTGCCAGAGACAGTGCTAAGGACATATCATGCTTTCTGTCCCTTCCTTTTCATGGTCATTCTCTGCAAGAGTACAACAGGAACTGGACTGTTCCCATTTTACAGAGTGATGGGAAGGCTGAGATTTAAAGAGGAAAAGGAAATGCCCCCACAGTTACTCAGCGTAGGAGCCGGAGGCGAGCCATGGATTCTACCCTGTGCTCCTATTCACTGCATTACCTTTTGAGGCAGATAGATAGTGTTTAAAAATGTGTTCTGAATGCAGGAGAGGATTAAGAGAAGTATTTAATAGAACAAGTATCACGTATGCGTAAAAAGTAGGGCCATTTACAATTATGCCCACTGAACTGAGACTTATTTTTTTAAAGGCTAATTTTCATTAAATGGTCAAAATGGAAACTCGGTTCCTTTATTCCCAATGTACACAAACATAAAAGGTGTAACCTTCATAAAACAAAATGGTTCCAGACAGGAAGATTAGCAGGGTGGGGCACTCCTGGAAGTCCTCTCTGCAGTAATTTAAAAAGAACCCATAGCTTATATAGGAGCTTCATTTGATTCTGTGTCCTCTGGGTTCCGAGAGTGACCTGGGCCTCTGGCAGGAGATCTAGGGTCTAATCATACCGTGTAGCACCATAAGTAGCTTTCTCAGCAGAGGTAGCATCTTCAGCAAGGACAAGAAGAAAGGGAAAAGGGGTGCCCTAAGGAAACTCTCAGGAATGGGGTGGGGCTGAGGGGACAGAAGAGGCTGGAGGGCAGTGCACCCAGGTGGTTGAACTTAACCATGAAGACCACTGTGAACCACTGAGGAAGGAAAAAGGTGGTCAGTTAGATCTGTGTTCTTTTCTGACGTGCTCTCGGACAGCGTTCTGGAAGATAGACTGGAGACGGGGGAAATGCTGTGAAGCTATTTGGGTCATTAAAGAGAGAAAAGGTGAGGGCCTTCATTAAGGTGTTGGTATTAATAACCGAGACCGAGGAATAGGCAGACATGGAAATTCCGTGGAGCACAAAATAACAGGTCATAATAATGTTGCTCTGACAAGAGGAAGATGGAGACAAGAGATGCCACGGCCCAGATCCCCTCAT